CACACACACACACACACACACACACACACACAGAGAGAGAGAGAGAGAGAGAGAGAGAGAGAGAGAGAGAGAGAGAGAGAAAGAAGCCAATTACAATTAGAGAATGCACATCTGAAAAGAAAAGCTACAAAAATAAATTATTGGTAGAAACAGCCAAAGTAAACTATTCTCTGCAGAAAGGATTTGAAGGTAACAAAATTAAGAATATACTGATTTTGCATGAAGAGAATATGGATTCCAGGTAGATTCAGACTTGAACCGTTGAAATACTTCATCCAAAAGGTAACTGCAGTAGAGGAAAAGACTTGCAGAAGACAGAGGCAGATAGCTGAAGGAGCACCACCAGTACTGTGGGAACCATGTGTGAGATTAAAGGAAAGCAGGGCCTCAATACCAGGAAAGCAGAGTCAGCATTTTTTATCTTCTCTGCCTGTGGTATGCAACGGGCCACCTGCAAAGCAGTCAACAGCCCTAATCCCTGGCACCTATGAATATACATATTGCATGACAAATGGGACTGCACAGATATAATTAATGAATCTCAAAATAGGGAGAATTTTTTGAACTATCTAGGTAAGCCTAGCTTAACAAAAGCGTTAAAAGCAGACACAAATGCTAAAAGCTAACATAGATGATTACTAAATGTTGCTGTCTCAGAGTGAATTTTTTTATTTCTTTTTTTTTTTTGGTCTTTATTGAGACAGGGTCTCCCAGTAGCCCCAGCTGGCCTGGAACTCACTATGTAGACCAGGCTGGCCTGGAACTCACAGAGATCCACCTGCCTCTGCCTCCAGAGTGCTGCAATTAAAGACGTGCACCATCATGCCTGGCTTATTATTTTTATTTTATCTGTGTAAGTGTATTGCCTGCATGTAGGTAAGTGCACCCATGTGGTACAATGTCCACAGAAGTCAGAAGAGGGTGTCAGATCCCCTGGAACTGGAGTTACAGATGGCTGTTAACTATCATGTGGGTGCTGGGATTTGAACCCCAGTCCTCTGCAAAAGCAACCTCTGAACCAACTCTCCAATCCCTGAAGAGAATTTTTATTAAAAAATATATTGGAGTGCTCCATCATAAATGGGACATCTATATCGTAAACTTGCCCTCAAGGCTCAGAGAACATCACAGAAGGCAGGATGGAAAGGTTCTGAGAGGCAGAACTCAGGAAGGACCTGAGCAAAACAGTGTCTTCTAGACATGACAGAACTGCTGCACTCATGAAGTCACAGCAGCTGTGGTGGCCTGCACACCATCAACACAGTCAGTATTCCAGCATGGAGGGGAAAGGGGCTCACAAGCTGAAGAACTATTGACAGTTGATGGCTGTTAGGGGAGAAAAAGTCAGTTTTCTTTAAGGGTATGGTCCTTAGTCGGTAGGTCAACTTATGCTGCGATAAATGGCCCCAAATCTACGCATATATGGGCAATACAAACAGGAATCCATGAGTTATATTTTTAAAAAAAAGGACATGAAGAGAACTTGGGAGGGGGATATAGACCTAGAGGACAATGAATCCAAGAAGGGTTATGGGGGACAATGCAGAGTGAATATGATCACAACACATTATAAATTCTCACATAAGTGACTGGCTTCCTCCTCTCCTAACAGTCACAAAAAAATGGACTATAAACTATATTCAGTACTTTTAGGTGGTTGCTCTTTTAACTGCATATGATAATAAAATAGGTTCTCCCAATTGTTGGACATCAATAGGCTGCTTTCTCTACTTATTCAGCTGGTGCCCACAATCATAACAAAGAAAAAGAAAAATTTAAGTAGTTACAAGGGAGCCATAAAGATATTTCTCCAAAATTTCACCAGCAATTAAGGTGAGCCCAGATACAGTGCACGGGAAGAAAGGGCACACTGCCATCATAGACCTACAAAGGTGATACTGAAGAGCACTAACTTCATATAAGTCTCAAAGTGGCAAAGGCTAGCTCACAGCATCAAAACAGGGAAGGAGCTGGATATGGTGGTGCACACCTTTAATCCCAGCTCTCGGGAGGCAGAGGCAGGTGGATCTCTGAGAGTTCAAGACCAGTCTGGTCTACATAGTGAGATCCAGGCCAGCTAAGGCTACAGGGAGACCCTGTCTCAAAAACACCAAAAAATATCAGGGAAGGAGTTCCACATGTATAGGTAACAGACCAAAACTAATACTTCATTAAGAGCTGGCACAATAATAGATAAGTTTTCCAAGTCCAGAGCTTATGCAAATATAATAATAAAATTTAAATAAATAAATTTAATATAATAATAAAATTTAAAATATATGCTCATGGGTGAAAAGTTAATAATCTCTGGCACATTTCAAAAACCTTATGAAGAAATGAACTAGAAAAAAAAATCATTCTGGGTTTTCTGAAGCTCTGGGTGTTAACACTAGACACAAAGACGTGTGATGAATAGAAAATAAGGCAGTATAATACAAATACAACATTCTAGCTGCACAAAGAAGAAACTAGCTATTAACAGTCTTAAAATTTTAGACTACAGTAATGGCTCAGCCATTAAGAGCATTCACTGTTCCTGCAAAGGACCCTGGTTCAGGTCTTAGCACCCACATAGTGGCTAACAACTGTCTGTAACTCCAGTCCCAGGGGATCCAATGCCCTCTTCTGGACCCTATGGGCATTGCACACATTCATGTGGTGAACTGACAAACAGGCAGGAAAAACACTCATAGACATAAAACAGAAATAATTTTTAAGATTGAAAAAAATAGTCCTCAACTTTCACACACATTATACTCTAAATAAATAAGTGCAATAATTTCTATAAAAATAATGCTATCAAAATCAATGGGAAAAATGGACATTCTCAGAACAAATCATGGCTTTTTAAAAAAAAAAAAAAAAAAAACACAATGCCTTAGAAAATCATTTCATAATCTGCCCCAAGTTATCTTTCCCCAGGGGCTACTTAAAGCCTAGCTCTACATTTTTTCTCACTGCTATTTCTTTCATATCAAGAGATTGTCCTTCCCTCTGACTCCAGATCCTGAATTACCACTTTCAGTTCACCTTCTCAACAAATTTCCTTTAGCTATTATAATATATTATCTATTGTATTTTCCCTGAAGCTAATTAGATATCTCAGAACTAGAGTACTTTCTTCCTACTCTGAATTCATAAATTACTTAATATTCAGTTAAATATACCTTCTGGCATTTCTCACTCATTGAATTTTTCAAATATTTGCTTTCAATCATGGTAGGTAAGCAACCTGAAAGTAAGAAGTACATAAATTTTTTAAAAAAAAATCCAGCAGGATAAAATTACTTTTCATTTGTGGTAAATGATATAAATATATTTAACATACATGTTTTCTCATCAAATCGCCTGAGTCAGATTGAAAGCCAGGAGCTGAGTCTGTCAGAAAAATCAATTAAAGAACAAACAAATGAAGGCGCCAAAGGACACCAAGTGTCTCTATCTGAAGAGCAGGTCAGTTCTACAGACATAATTACTATAGTACCATAAATAACATGGTATACTGAGCACTAGAAATAATATAAAACAAGGTTAAAGAAAAAAAATCAGAACACGATGACAAAAGACACAATGCTCCCAGAGTAACTGGGACCATCTTCTAAAAGCCAAATGAACTCAGAGAGACCACATAATCTACTCAAGACAAAAGCAGACCATTTGCTACTTCAGAGTATTTATTTGTATATACTCCAGATAAAACTGAAAACTGCTGAGACAATTTTTTCTTTAGACTCTTGCTTTTATAATCTAAATATCTATCCATGACTAAAGAGGTACCTCAAATGGCATCTGTATCACCCCACAGAATGTGAGTTCCAAATATGCTCAGAGTTGTATTAACATGAGCAAAAGCTGAGACTTTTCTCAAGCATTTTCTACAGATAAAATTCTTACCATCATCTTTTCAAAAAGTCTTAAAACTTCATTGTCTGACAATGGCTTTGGAAAATTCTCCATGGTCTCTGAAGAAACTGATGAGAAATCACTGCTTGCAGATGCGGTCTTCAGGTTGGGGAGAGGAGGTCTCTCTTTCTTGCTCCCTGGAATTCTTATGCTTGCAAATTTGTCCAGCTATAAAGGAAGATAAAATAGCACACGTGTGTAAATAGTTCTGCACCCACAACACTTATGTAATTCCCCAAACAGAAAAAAACAGACAGGGACAATCACATTGTCACTGCTTCTGTCAAAAAACAGTCACAACTAGAAACTTTACAGTTAACAGTAATAATCCTAAGTGTTGAAAAGGTTTCAGCAGCAGTCCTATTTAAAAAACACAAATTTCAAAAGATTCTTCTAAATCTTAAAATCAGGGCTGGAGAGAGGGCTTGGTGGTTAAAAGCACTTGCTGCTCTTGCAGGGGACCCAGGTTCAGTTCCCAGTACCCACGTGGCAATTAACAATTGTCTGCAACTCCAGTTCAGGGGATCCAATGCCCTCTTCTGACCTCCACAGGTACTGTATGATACAGGTGCACTTACATATATGCAGGAAATACACTCATACACATAAAATAAAAATGATAAAATATTTTAATTAAATAAATAAATCTTAAAACACACCATTTACATGTAAGATTCTGGTGCCAGGTGACCCACTACTTATAGATAAGCAAACTGAGCAGTTTTTAAAAAGTAACTCAGGTATCAGGGGAAGCATCAACTAGCATTCCATGTCCCATCATCCACTCCTTCCTTGTCCTGTGCCTCCTGTGCGCCATCCTTTGGCAGAGTAAACAGAGGAAAGCAACAGAATATGGTTTACGAAATTTTAATTGAATTATATCTTAGTAGCTTATTCACCTGATAATACATTTCTTTTTGCTTCTTAGACATCTACCAAGTAAGATGGCTAAAGCCTTAGGAAATACAGCTATGTTTTTATTGTAATGTGATTTCTCCTACCACATCTACATCAGTTAATTGATATTTGAAAATATATTAATATTAGTTTAGAAAGCTAATCATTCATTCATTCAAAATTGTCCTCATAAAGAACCTAGACTCATATCTTAAAATGTATACAGTTTTCAGCAATCAAAATGGCAAAATGTCTTAAAGTTAAGTTTTAAGAATATAAGTGACTATGGCTTACGCATAATCAATGATTCTGTGATTTGTTCAGTATTGCTATAAATATTAACCTATTATTTTCACTAAATCATGAACATGGGACTGGCAATATGGCTCAGCAGGTAAAGGAACCTGCCCCCAAACCTGATTACCTGAGTGTGCACACAAACACATAGACACACACACGGACACACACAAAAACAAATGTACCCATGCACACATAAATAAATATTTTAAATGTATAGGATATAAAAGTGTAATGCATGTTATATTAGCTACTAACTACATATGGTTATTGAGTTAAATTTAATTATATTAAATTTTTAGCTGCCAATTTTAAGTGCTCAAGGGCTACTAGTGATTACCACACTGGTAAAAAACATATTCAGAATATTTCTATTATCAGAGAAAATTCTATTAGAGAGAATAGTATAACCATTAAAGAAACCTGACACTCGGAAATTTTATTTTTAGAGGACAATTAAGTCATTGTATTATTTAAATCATTGAAGAAATAGGTCAATTAATGAGATGTAAGAATAATGATTTTTACATTCAAAATTAGGCCTCTAAATTTTCTATAAAAAAAAGATCTAGGAAAATATACTGTATTTATACATGGTTTGTTTAACATGACATGAATGCAAAGTTCTAAGACTATGCCAGCTCCCTGCAAGACTTAGAAAGTAGTCAAAAACACCATTGCTCTCATCCTAAAAAATAAAAACAAGTCAGAAAAGTTAAAAAATTATGGTTGCTCTGTGTTCAATTCATCTGAAAGCTCAGGACAAACATATCAGTTTGTAACTGAATTTGTAACTTGGCAGAATTACTGAGGGTCAAAAGGTAAAGTAGAAAAAGAGGAAAAGGGATGGAGGAAGAAATAGGGAAAGTACATCTAAATTGAACATTTGCAAATGTTTTTTTCCTGTCATTATGTCCTTAATACTGTACTCACTCATCAGTAACATTGTATCATAAATAATAAAAGTACCATAAAAAATCATAAATAATAAAAAAACATACATCTAACTTCACCAGGTTCCTAGATAGTGAAGATCCTCAATTTGTTTGATTTCACAAGTATTTCACAGTTGAATTAAAATATTCCCCCAAACTTGGAAAACCTGGTATCTAATCTGTCTTCCCATTTCTAGGAATACAGCATAACATCCTAAGTATCTCTCTAGGGATAATCTTTGCTACTTTTGATTCTCACATTAAGACACAGAACTTAAGTTGAAGGTCCCTTAAATTATTAAAATAAAGTTTGGAAATTATTTGTTAAAGAAAAGAAAGCTTAGAACACAAAGAATAGAAAACAGGTAACAAAAATGCTTTATGCTTCATCATTGGTCAGGGATAATTAAAACAGGTAAGGAAAGGAAAAGCAGTCGGATGTTCAGTGACCTACTGATTGTTGCAATGGTGCTGGCTAAGAGACTTTAGAAAACCAAGTAGCTCTGCTCATAGGGCCCCAGCCAAAAAACTAGTCTGTTACCAACTCCCCTCAAGTCTTTGTGAAACGCAACTGGTGGTATGCCAAAGGTGAGTGGAAAGCAGGAAAGCTGACTGAGATCCTTCCTAAGGCACACAAGGCCTTCACCATCTGTTGTCGTCCTATCATATGGATCAGGCAAAAGACCTCAGGAAAATGTCCATGATGCACTCCATGCCTTCAAAAGATCATGATAGCTCCTATCTGATGAGAGCAGAACTCAAACTAGAACCAAAAACCCAATTCAGGATTAACTCTAAAAACGGTCACCAGCCGGGCATAGTGGTGCATGCCTGTAGTCCCAGCACTTGGGAGGCAGAGGCAGGCAGGTCTCTGTGAGTTCAAGGCCAGCCAGGACAGCTGGGGCTACAGGGAGACCCTGTCTCCAAAAAAAAAAAAAAAAAAAAAAAAAAAAGGTCACCAAACTCTAAAACTCATAGCTATCCTGGAGGCTTTTTTTTTTTTTTCAGGGAAGTGATCATCCTCATCACAGAGGGCTCCCAAGGCACCTGCTCTATACAATACCCTCAAAGAGGAAGTGAAGATATGTGGACCATATTTATCTTCCAGCAGCATCCCCATACTGTGTTTGCATACAATAAGGATGACACCCTGCAAGTGAAAGTGAAGGCTGCCAAGTGTTTCACAGACTCATTTTTAATACAATATTTTTATTCTTTGAGGATTTCATACAACATACTTTTATCTATCTATCCCTGACTTCTCCCCAAAACTGCTTAAAGATCCACCTCCCCAACTCCTCACACCCTCCTAACTCCATGTCCTCTTCTATTTTTGGATAACTCACTGCCTGCATGCTTAAGGGTACAGTGCCATCTACTGGAGCATTGCCGACCTACCAGGGGCCACACCCTTAAAGAATACTGACTGTTCCTCCCCAGTAGCCATCAACTGTCACTACCCCCTCCAATAGGGGTAGGGACATGTGAGCCCCTCCCTGCTAAAATGTTGATTGTCTTCATCTTATGCAGGTCTTGTGCAGGCATCCATCACTGCTGTGAGTTCATAAGTACAGAAGCCCTGTCATGCCTAGAAGATACTGTTTCACTCTGGTCCCCCACACACACTTATTCTCTGTGCTTTGATCAGTTATATGTTTCTACAACCACCATCCACTGCACAAAGAAACTTCTCTGATAAGGTCTAAAAGATACACTAATCTATGGGTATAAAGCTATGGATTAAGAGAGTCAATGCCTTTCTTTAGAGTCTTGAAAACTCCTCTTAATCAGATCTGTTCCTTAGGCAAGAATCATTGTTGCACATTAAGGAACTAACTTCCAATATTAATTGTGTGCAAAGAAGCCTCTCTTGTCAGTACCAAGTTTTAAAGGTTGGTAGCTCAGATGTAGAATCAAAAAGTAGATTGCCAGGGGCTCGTAAGATGGCTCAGTGGGCAAGAATGCTTGTTAGCATGAGGGCCTGGTTAAAATCACCAGAACCCACATAAAAATTCAGATGTGGTTTCACAAATGTTTGTGGCCTCAGCACTGGAGGTTGGAGAGGAGAAGAGAGGAGACAGGGATCACTGGAGTTCACTGGCCCCCAGGCTAGCTCCAGGTTCAGTGAGAGATCTTATTCTAAAAAGAGTAAAACAGGGCTAGAGAGATGGCTCAGTGGTTAATAGAGCACAACTGCTCTTCCAGAGTTCAGTTCCCATCACCCACATCAGGTGGTTCACATCTGCTTGTACCTCCAGCTCAGTTCGAGGGGATCTGATGCCCTCTTCTGGACTCCACAGACACCTGCACTCATACCACTGACCCACACACATATACACAAAATTAAAAATAAAACAAATCTTCAAAAAAAAAAATGAAGGCAGAGAGTGATACAGCAGGATGTCCAATGTTCTCTTCTGGTCTCCATGTGCATGTGCATGCACTCTCCCCACCACACACACACACACACACACACACACACACACACACACACGTAGAGTGTCAGATTTTCAATGATGTTCAGACCTCAAGCATTCAAAACAAATGAAGCCATTGAAAAGCTAAAACAACTTGCTGCTGCAACCCTGGAAATCTGAGTTCAATCCATGGAACCATGTAAACACAGAAGACAGAGAAATGACTTCTAAAAGCTGTCTTCTGACCTCCACACATGAGCCATGGCACACAGGATTGCGCACACACACACACACACACAGACACACCATACATACATACATACATACATACATACATACATACATACATGATTTAAAAAAATAAAAAGAAAGAAAGAAAGAAACAGTAGCCAAGATCTAGGGATACAATACAAAATGTTGTAACAAAGTGTATATGGAGTCCTGAAAGAGAAAAGGAAAAGAATGATACACAAGATTTCAAGAAATACATTGAAAAAGTTGATGTAAAATATATGTCACACACACACACACACACACACACACACACACACACACACACACACACAGGCTTTTCATAGTCAGACTTCTGAAAAATGTAGAAAACAATTCACAAAAGTGCAAC